CACAGCTAGAAGCTAGCAGACCCCCCCCCCTTCTTCTTCTCCTGATATTACATCACCGCCGCCTTTGTTCGTGTGGCGACAAAGAGGGCTATGTTTACCCCACAGCAGCACTCTGACTCGCTAAAAACCTCTCAATGCTGAGCCGGATACAAGCAGGAAACTGTGGAGGGTGTTCTAAACTGAAGGAATGGGAATATGCAGATTTAAACACGCAGACAAAAACAGCTGTTACATAACCACAGGGGGGGAGAGACAGACAGACAGACGGGGGGGGGGGGGGGGAAGAGAGACACACAGACAGCTTTCTGCTTAAATTACCTCATTAGTTGTTTTTTATCCAACTGTGCTGGTTGTCCTCACTGGTTTTATGTTGATATACATGCAGTGACTATCAAAATATAAACCGTATACAATCCAATACAAGAGTCCTGAAATTAAAACGACTGTTTTGCTGGTGTGGAACCAGCTGTGTTGTCGTATTTGGATTAAAGGACGTTTTCATTCCCACTGTTTGTCGTTTACTCTGCAACATCTCTCTGCAGCTGGCAGACAGATTTCTATGTAATCTGGTGGAGAGTTGAATGACGAGCGCCGACAAAGATTTAGATTGTTTTTTAAATCCCTCTTTTAAATGCATTACATTTTTGGAACATAAAATGTTTGGATGAGACCAAATATGTATGCATTTGTGATATGCTATTCAGTTTTCCTATAACTAAATTAAAATGTGATTATAGAGCACAAATGTTTAACCTTTGTTGTAAAAATGGTATTTTTATTCATCGGCAGAGTCAGTAGCATGGCTAAAGAATTAGCATTGTATTGGTATAAGTATTCCCATATTTGGTGTTGTGCTGCATCTGCATTGGTTCGTGAAATAAAGGAAGTGGTATCAACGAGTACTTCAGGGTTTCATAGAGGAAATGTAACTTAGTTTGACCTCTTCTACGTGTGTCAGCTCGAAGACTTGGTGGCCACATTAACCAGCAAATCCTTCACACAAAGACAGTCCGTGTTTCCACTTCAGTTCGTCTGTAGGTGTGAAGAGCAGACCATCACACAAATGATGACAAACTGCCCTTTAATGAGAGCGCTGCACCATTCTGCACCAATATCTCAAATTTATTGTTCTTTATGTTCATATACATATACAGTTGTGTGAAAAAGTGTTTGCCCCCTTCCTGATTTCTTATTTTTTTGCATGTTTGTCGCACTTAAATGTTTCAGATCATCAAACAAATTTAAATATTAGACAAAGATAACACAAGTAAACACCAAATGCAGTTTTTAAATGAAGGTTTTTATTATTAAGGGAAAAACAAAATCCAAACCTACATGGCCCTGTGTGAAAAAGTGGAAGAGACAATTGATCTAAATACTGGCCCCAATATATTGGCTGCAACAAAAGGTTTGTTTTATTTATTTTTTTATAGCATAACTTGGCCCCCAAAACATCATACAGTTTGCCGCAGCAGAATGCGAGACTAGCTGTGGACAGACAAAGAGGCGCACTCACTCACTCATGGACTCACGGTTGCATAATCCCCTGGCGGAGATAACAATTTCTCAGTCCAAAATACTTACACTTGAGTACTTGGCGATACACAGTACCGATACGAGTACTTTATAATCGGTGCATCCCTACTAAAGATTATACACAACATTATTATCGCTAGTTTCAAATCTCATCAGTATAAATATAAGCCAGAAGCACGACCACCTGGACTTAGACTTTGGTCTCTTTGTTTCTGTACCAGCTGTGAGCCCCCTGGGCCGGTTGAACTTGTCATATTTGTGCAACCTCAATACTATGACTCCAAAGCCCTTGAGTTCCAGTGAGCATGTGCCGAGTATACTGAATCAAAAAAATAAAACATACAGTAAACACTCCGTCAAGGTGACTCCTCTACATGACCGGATGCTCCTTCAGCAAGTGAGAACAGCCAATAGAATTATCGCCTCTAATCGCTGCATGTCTATCCAGCATGTACTGGTTAAAGACTGTCAGGCTCGGACATTACGAGTCACCACTGTGATGAACTAAACGCCGATTAGCGCCTCAACGACGCATAACGATACTCAAGTGTTATGTGGAGCTAATAAAATGCTGCAACAAGGAAGTAATTTAATAAACCATCCGATATTCAAACCATTAGTCCTCTGAATAAAAACGTGATAAGACTTCCAGTGATGGTTTTAATCTAATGCATGTGCAAGTGTTAAATATGCATAAAAGAAAAGGCCGGAGTAATGTGATGCCAGTGCAGATAGTGCAGCCTTCTTGCTGACTAAACCGATTTCCTACTGAGGTCATTCATCACCCAGGAGACCCTTCCAATCACACACACACGATTTCCACACACACAATCAACAAAGTGACATTCGCAGGGCTTGCAGCAGTAAACCATGATGGAGCACTGCACCACCACACACATTTTAACATCCTCGCCCATCCCCCATCCCTCATCCCTGCCCTTGGCCTGGATGAAAATGCAGCTATAGCTAGCCCGAAAACACACACCGACACACTCGGAGTGACTGCAATTAAACAAATGGAGCTGAAGGCGAGAGACAAGAAGTGACATTGTCAACAAACACTGAATTACATAATTGTCTCGGGCACATCTGCGAGCTATCACATGATGTTCAATATCACCAGCTGAGGCTCTGTGGAACAAAACATGTGACTCAAAAAGGTGTGAACGGGACGATTTAAATCAGGCGCTTCTTAAAGCTGCAGTGGAAAAGGTTATATAAGAAAAGCTAGGCTGCAATAAAGCAACATATCCCATCCCCCTACTTGAACCAGTATAGGGAGGATTCAGATGCTCTACTTAAAGCAAAAGCACTAATATAACACTGGAAATACTCCACTATGACTTAACCTGTATTGAAAACCTCTTATGAAAGTACTATCAGCAAAATGAAGTAGAAGTACAAAACTAAATGCAATATCTGATGTTTTTGTGTTGATCAATGTGTGTGTTTTATTGTAACTCCTTTATATACTGTTGGCTACTTTACTCTCCATCAATGCATCCTATTCCAGAAGGTGCATTTTCCAGCTGATCCAAGAGGATTTTTAAAAAACAATTTATATTATTTTTAATGCCAATTTATTTAGTTTTGCTATTTCCATTCCCCCAAAAAATATGCAGAGATATGTTTGTTTCTATTTGCTATCCTGTCAATGATGCTCATGAACTGTATTGCCAAACAGTTGCCAAACATTCCTGCCATTTGCAGTGGACTATCTTTCTACAAACTATGTGATGCTTTTCATCGATTTAATCCTCCACCGACACATCTGTCTTGAATCTGAAGTGACCCTCACCTGACTCGCAGACGACGGAGCCCGGCTTCAGCTCCAGCATCATGGTGATGGTGGCGATGTCGGTGGTGTAGAGGATCTGTGTGCGGTGCGGCAGGGTGACGGTCCACAGCTCCGGCGTCGGGTGAAGCACGTAGACCCACCCGCCTTTGCTGCAGGTTACCTTCGACCCGTAGCGTTGACCGATCAGGTCTGAGGAGTGGCGAATGACTCCATAGCGTGTCTGCGTTTGGGCGCCCTGCTGCACCTTGACCGGCATCATGGATTCATGGCCCAGGTAGACGATAGCGACGTCACCATCCTGAATGAGGTCCGAGTACTCCACAAAACTCATGGTGAGCACCGTCAGTCTGCAACAAGGAGGGAGGAGATTAACAGCAATAACTCGTGCGTAAAATTTATAATATCCTCCGTCATGTTCACCTTTGGGTTTCAAACATCAATTTTTTGGACAACCAACTCTGCAATCCTACTACCGCCATAGTTACCAGCCATCCCAAATGACATGAACAAAGGAGTATGCTAGTTGCGGCTAATGTAGCCTTGAGTCTCAAACTGAGATAATTGTCTCAAAGACCTGCAAACCAGAGTTTTCTCCAACCTTTTTTGTTTCCATTCAAAATAGGACCATAATAAACATCATGCTGTATTGAAGAAGACTTGAAACTAGAGATTGAGACCATAAACTCATGTTGACTGAGGTAATAAATCAAGAGAGAAGTAGAGTCATTTATATACTCACATTTATATACACACACACATATATATGTACACATACACACACACACACACATATATGTACACATACACACATATACACATTTATACATATACACGTACACGCACACACACGTACGCACACACACGCGCACATACATACATACACACGCGCACACATACATACATACGCACACATACATACGTACACACACATACATACATACGTACACATACATACATACATACGTATACATACGTACGTACACACACGTACGTACACACACATACGTACACACACACACATACGTACGTACACACACACGTACGTACGTACACACACACACACACATACGTACGTACACACACACACACGTACGTACGTACACACACACACACGTACGTACGTACACACACACACGTACGTACGTACGTACACACACACACACATACGTACACACACACGTACGTACGTACGTACACACACATACGTACGTACACACACATACGTACACACACATACGTACGTACGTACACACACATACGTACACACACATACGTACGTACGTACACACACATACGTACACACACACATACATACGTACACACACACACATACGTACACACACATACACACACACGTACACACGTACACACACGTACACACATACATACACGTACACACATATACATACACGTACACACATACGTACACATACACGTACATACGTACACATACGTACACATACATACGTACACATACGTACACATACGTACACACATACGTACACACATACATACATACGTACACATACATACGTACACATACGTACGTACACATACATACATACGTACACATACATACATACATACGTACACATACGTACGTACACATACGTACGTACACATACGTACATACGTACACATACATACATACATACATACATACATACATACATACATACATACATACGTACACATACATACACATACATATACATACATACATACGTACACATACATACATACATACGTACACATACATACATACATACGTACATACATACATACATACGTACACATACGTACACATACATACATACGTACACATACATACATACGTACACATACATACATACGTACACATACATACATACGTACACATACATACACACGTACACATA